CTAAAAGTTATAGCTTAGATGAATATTAACAGTCTCACAGACTCACATCTTGAATGCACTGCTATTGTGAAATCCCTGGATAAAGCAGCTGACAGCCTCCCTCCCTGCCTCAGCAGGGAATTGCCCTGGAAGCAGAGCTGCCTGAGACGTGGCTCACAAGTGCAGATGTGGGCTCCAGGGGACAGAGCCTGTGCTGCTGCTCAAAGCAAGGACACTGCACACTCACAGCAAGTGGCAGTGCATCCCACTCCTAGGCCCCTGCTTCCCCATGCAGCTCCCTTCAAAGGCAGTCTCACTTGGTGCAGAGAGTTTTTGAAGTGTTTCCTTGAGCAATTAATTCGACCACTTGTAATCCTTTCAGGGAGGGGTGGCAGATAATTAACTATAGGAAAATATCATTCATTTATATGCATTATTGGAAACTAACACTGTCTGGAGAATATATGGTTAGATGACACATCCCAGAGCTGTATTCATTTTCTTTCTGAGCACAGGGTCTACATAAGTGGGTTTTCTTTGCTTTCTTCTTTACTGGTTAGTCCTTGTAGCAGTTTGGCTTTTCCTGCCATGAATTTGTGTTTCCTTACCTCCCCCAATTTTGCAAAGCCTGGCTTATGATAAAGGTTGATTATTATTATGTAGACAGATAACTTCTTAAAATTAGGTGGAGACTTCATTGCTAACTCCCCATTACCAGAGCAAACCTCAACTCCTGGGTTTGCCTCTCAAGTGTCTCACGGGTGCTGCCCAGTTGTAGGCAGCACACAGCAATGAGGTTGACTGCAGGCAGAGACAGCTTCCTTTGCTAGGAAAACGTCTTCCAGTTTGTCTTCCTTGGATCACTCAGAGCAAGTAAATCCTTCTCAGGGCTTGATGAAAGATAGTTAAAGACACAGACTTGTTATCAGGGGGCTAAATCTACAGTGCAGACATTTATACCTCCACAGGGAAACTTTCAGGGGAACTGCAAACGAAAAACCCCTCAGGTGGGGAAGGGAGAGCACAGAGCCAGAGCACAGGGCTGTGGCCTGGCTCCCCTGTGCTCAAGGTGAGATTTTCACATCTCTTTATCTAGCATGAATATTCATCCCATCATCTCCCACTTAGGTCGCTTTGACTTACAGCAGGAGGGAAGAGCACTGGGGCTTTGCATGGAGGCACCTGAGAAACTGAACCTGAATGTCTTTGATTGCAGGGATAATGTTGGGACGAATGGGGGACAGTGGAGTTCCTTTGGTCAGCTTTTGCCAGTGTTTGAATGAATCTGTCATGAAGATAGTGGCGGTTGCTGTTTGGTAAGTAACTGTTTAATAAGAGAATAAATATTTTTTTAAAAGATTAAGAACATTTCAACAGAAGAGAGTGCACAGAAACCTCATAAACTTATTTCCAGGGAAATAAATGAGGGTGAATGATCCTTAGTTTTGTGGGGCCCTAACACCTGAAGGAAGATACACACACATCCTGTCCCTGGTTTGTACTAGCATTTTGCCAGAGGGAGTACCCTCTGTGATACTCCCAAATATAGCTGGGTGGGGTGTGCTGTATGCCCTAGGGACACTGCCAATCCTCAAGCATGCTGAGAGGAATTATGGTACACTCAGCCCACACCAAGGAGAAGCATGATGAGGTGCTCAAGCTGGTACTTCAATCCCTTACAGCACTGCTGTAGACCCAGCTGGACCAGCCAACCCACCTGCCCCAAAGGTCAGAGGAGTAGTAGATGACTGCCAGCAACAACAACTGTCAGCTTAGCATCTTCCCCACCCTTCAGAATGTGGCTTAGCCTGACATGAGGCAAGGAACCACTACCAGCACTCAGCCTTTCCATCCAGCTACCTGGTCCAGTCTGACTGAACTGGGTCAGGGAATAATCACTTGGTTGAATGGGTCCGAGGGGGTAGTGATTTCTGGAAGAATGAGGACGAAGTGCAAAGACTCTGGGTATGACACAGCTGCAAGTGGAAAACGACTGGGTGGCCCCAGATTTGGGGTTTTTTAAGTTCCTTTGGCACCCATGGCTTTTTATGTAGCTGTGCACAGAAGCACTCAGTTTTGATAAAACAGCTGTCCAGAGTGGGCTCAGAAACTAACTATTCTTCTGCCTATTTATCTGCCCCAAATCAAACTTCCAGGCAGTCCAAGAGCATGTCTAATGTATATTGGTGTTTCTCCTATGTCTTCCAAAGGCAACAAAAACATTTGCTTAAGAGTTTCCAGCTAAAATCCACGGACAGTTACATGAGCACAAGCACATGAGCAGAGCTTAGATTCATTCCTCCTCTTCCCATAACTTACCTGCCTTAAGCTAAAAAGTCAGAGCTGCCTTCTGAACCAAAACATTTTAAAGTCATTCCTGACCAGCATCATAACCTCAGTGGTGCTGAGTACCCCACATAAAAGGTTGTTTGGCCCAGTGCTTTGGGCACACTTCTCACGTGATAGAGAGGGGCTTAGTCTGACAGAACAGTGGTACCCAGACAGGCTGCTGGGCTTGCACTGCTGCAGGAAGGATTTCCCAGCTCATACCGTTTGATGGAAAGGAGCTGTCTCCTAATAATGACTGTTTTTCTTTTTGCTCAGGTATTTTCCTTTTGGAATTGTGTTCCTAATTGCTGGCAAAATCCTAGAAATGGATGACCCCTCAGCCATTGGGAAGAAGTTGGGTTTCTATGCCATTACGGTGGTGTGTGGCCTAGTGGTGCATGGGCTCTTTATTCTGCCAATGATGTACTTCTTCATCACCAAGAAGAATCCCATTGTCTTCCTCAGAGGGATCCTTCAAGCCTTGCTCATTGCTCTGGCCACATCCTCCAGGTATTGCAGTTTCTCTACAGGTGCAATTAAATCATTGCTAGGTCCTTACTACAGCTATCCCTTGGGAGCAGCACTCTGTAGCTGCAGTGGAGCAGATAGATCTGTATGTGAACAATGGCCTGGGTGCAATTCACTGGTATAATTTTACAAAACATGTCTCTCAACATTTGGAAGTTATGTGGGAGCCATTTGACAGTAATGTTTGTCATATTGTTTTTCCCTCAGGTTAAAAATTATTGGACAAAACTATTTTTTTCTTAGAGAACTAGAACAGAAATAAGGGCATTTTTTTTTACAAAAGCAAATATTGTGTTTCTACAAAGTTAATATATAAGAGGGACACACAATTTGTCCAGGCTTCATTTTTGGTACTAGTGGGGAACCTCCTATTTCAGTCATATGGAAGCATTTTTCCCTTTCTATTGATCTTAGCCTTTGTTTCTTGGTACATTAAGGAAAGACTGTGGTTGGAAGCTATTGTCCAGCTCTGGGAAAGTATTTAGCTGTTCTGCTCAAGGAATCATATTGTTTGCATCCTTTTTAGGGAGGATGTACAATGAGTTTTAACCGAAGCTGAACGAAGGTATAGTGAAAATGGGAAACAGCTTGTGAACTGGTTATGAAAATGACTCCCAACACAGATAAACTGGTGCAGGAGACATGCTTGAAAGGGCTGGAATTGCCCTGCATGGAGTGGAGACAAGAATGACAACTAAAGTAACATTTCCCTGTAGCCAATATGACAACACAGTTTCATGGCACCTGTGGCTGGAGGCTTGTTACTCTGAGGTAATAGGAGCAGCTACACCTGTCTCTTCTTGTGCAGTAGCAAAAGCCACAGTACAAATGGAAAATACCAGGTAAATTGGTCCTACAGCAAATCTTGGAGATTTACTATTTCTGCTGTCAGCTGTAAAGGAAGAGAACTAAAGAAAGGAAAATATGCCCTTCTTTTATCTCATTTTTGCTTTGGGATTTTTCAAGTTATTTTTGGTTTTTTACAGAGACTGGAAAATACTTATGCAGATTTTGAAGTGATGACAGACAGTGGAAAGCACCTGTCTTCATCTACCTAATTTAGACTTCAAATTAGTGATTAGTACAAAATCAATGATAAATTGGGAACATCTATTTATAAAGAAACTTAATGAGAAACTAAAATGCTTTGTCAACCCCAAAATATGTATTCTAATCAATAATAGTGACTGGGGAGTACTTCATCTAGTTATACTTAAATACAATTCCTTCTTTCATCTTACAATATTTCTATAATAATTTGAGCTCTGACAACTAATATATTCTTTCAGGCAACAGGATTGTAGCAGCTTCTCATCTAATCTTACTTTTCTCCACAATTTCCCAAGTTCCTTCAGGAAGAATTCACATAATCTCTCCCACAAAGGAGTGACCCATTTAGAAATAAAGTGCATTTGTAATTGGTGGGATTACAGAAGGAAAAGACAGGAAGGACAGATAAAAAGTCCTCAGGAAGCAGTCAGACAAATACTGATATAAAATAACTGTTTACAGCCTAATAAAGACTGTTTCTCACTGTGGATATGCATACAGTGGTTGGAACAGCAGGAGGAATGTATAGGATTAAAGAGAGGAGGGAATTAGTATCTCAGTACATGTTTCATTTTACTAGGTGTTTTTGTGTATAATCGTTTGCTCCAAAATGACCTGTAAAGGGCAACATACAAAAAATTCCGTGCAGGGTGGTGTTTAAACTCTAATTAGACTGAAATAATTAAGGCAAGCTTCTTTATTAGAAAGGAAAAAGGTTGTAGCTTGAGATGTTGTCACATCCCCATATTCAAGTAGGATGCTAAGTTTGCACACAAAGATGTTAGTGTTGGAAGAGGCTCATCAGGCTCACATTTGACACACTTGACTATCTGCCCTGCTCCTCTAGGAATTATGTTTCTGAACAACTCTTTTGCTAGCAACTCAGCTTTTGTAATCTGTTCCCTTCCACTCATCCTCTTTCTTTTCTAGAAAGGGATAATTTTTCCTAAAATTTTAATCTGAATATTTCTCTTTTAGGGGAAAAAAAAAGAACAAAGAGATAAATTCTTGGTCCTTATTTTACCTTTAGCATCAATAGATGAGTTTGTGCTTTCCTCTTCTTTTCTATTAACAAGCAAAAAAAAAAAATGCAACTTTTTCATGAGTATGGATGCCTTTCACAAGGGAGGTTTGGTAAAGACTTAAAAGACCAGCTTATATTCCACCATTTCAAAAAGATTACTGTTCTTAATGTTCCATATCATGCACCAGCATTGCATTTTGATTTCATCACCAATTTACTAGTCCTTTACTGCTCTGGAAACTTTTAGGGCTTGTGCTTTTTTAAAAAGCAGTTTCCCATTCCTATCAAGGCAGTTCATTGTTTCTTCACTGGATCCCATCTCCTCCCTGTCTCTAGCTCTGAGACTATCAACCACTTTGCAATCATCAAGTGCTCTCTTTGTAGTTCATGACATGTTTAGGTCCATGTTGCTTTTGGTATATATTGAGGTTATTAATGTTCCAATGACAGTGTCATCAATCATAGGAATAACACAGAAAGTCAGACATGATATGTAGTCACCAAAATACACAACCAGATCTACAAAGAGATGGAGGAGTTTGATTCCCTGTTCTACACATGAGTGCTGAAGTTATATTACTGCTTGGTGAAGTTCAGCATTTGTTGGTTGAAGATCTTTTAGATCAGTTATTTTTTCTCTCAGTTAGTTGCAGAAGCATAAGGGAAGAACATGTACACTCTTCAGCAAATGTGAGCAAGCTCTTTGCAAAAGCCTGCACATCACAGTCACTGTGCCTGCAGAGCTTAACCAATAGAAAACTTTCAGCCACACAGGATGGCTACGGTTCGTCTTGGAACTTACCTCCTCCTTGGGAGAGCTGGACTCCTATATGTATAGGCCCAGAGAGGGTCTGGCAACAGAGCTCTGGCACCAGCTGGCAGCTCAGCCTGTCGAGAATCCCCAGCAGGACTTGCTTCAGTACTTGATTTAGTATCTTTATTGACAGCTAATGACAGCTATTGACAAAAGCTAATGCACCAACAACATTATGGTGTGTCCTGGGGAAAGGCTCTGAGCATACGGATTTGGGGCTTAAACATGTTCAATGGATTTAGGTCTGTTTTTCCCTTCTTAAGAGTGTGTATATTTTGCAAATCCAACCCAGGCCCAACATGGTTTCTAATGTTTTTCTGCTCAAATAGCAGTGCCTTGTCTTGAGATAGCTGAACTTTTCACCTTCACTACGCTGAAAGGAATGGATACTGCACATAACTGAGCTCTTGCCAAAAGAACATGCACAAATAATTGGTGCTGGACAGGAGAGCTGCTCCTCCTGACAGTCAACACATCTGTATTTGGTTAAATAAGACTTGCCACGGGGCATTATATAACACTCATCATGTGGGTATTGGATTTTCAGATCATCTTAGGGGAGAACCGAGAGTTGGTTTTAAGCATACTGATGTGTTTCTTGGAGATATTTCTGTGTCACTTCATGTCTACATCTAAAGATAGAACAAAAACCACGGATCAGTGTGCTGATACTCATTTCAGATAGGCTGCACCTGTGAGAAGCTTATTTTTAAAATTAAAAATCAAACTACAAGAAGCAAAACCAATACCATTTACAAAAGCCCAGAATGTTTCCAAGGGAACCTGAAAGCCACTAGGCAGCCATCTCAGGGCAGTGCTTGTGATGAATCTGAGCATTACTTCCACTCATTTCCCTTCAGTGAGAGGCTCTGCACAGCATGCTCAGCCCCTTATATTTCTCCAGAAATCCCAGTAGCACAATATTTTGGTTTGCACATACACCAGTGGAGAGGCAGGGACAGAGAAGCAGATCTTTTATTCCTTTGGTGCATCCTCTAGGACACAGTGAGCTGGATCCTCATGACTAGCACAGGTCCTTGCAGCAGTGTCCTGGCCAGCCAGCCCTGGAGGCAAACCCTTGGCCCCAGTACAGGCTGGCTTTGGCACCAGGTGTCCACGGCAAGGTGTGCAGCTCCTCTTCCCTGCATCAGTGAGGTGCCATTGCCCACCTTGCCCTGCTCTGGGGTCTTCAGGCTGTGGATTTCTCACTTGCTGCTTTCTTTCCCCCACATTGCCCCTGATCATGTCACCTCTTTCCACACTGAAAAGCAGTATTTGGCCTACAGGCAAAATTCTTCTTGATTTTAGCTTTCCTCATTCCAATGGCAAGAGGGAATTTTGTTTTTCTAGGTCATCTTTCCATATCATTAATGAATTAAAGCAGCATCTTTCCAGTGGTACATCCCTTCAAAAGAAGCAATTTTCATCTTCACTGAAGATGAATGATAAACCATGAGTTTTTCAAGCGTTTTTGCCGCTTATGAAACACTAAGATCTTGTCTATTGCACAGTGTAAATTAAAGGCAGATTTAGCAAAAGGGAGATGAGATCAGTTTGTTGATTTTTTGGAGCAAATATCAAAATGCATTTGAATGATAAGATAAACAGAGCAGGCTGAACAGCTGTTCTTCCACAGTGACTAGCTCTCTTTGTGGCTCACACTAGTAAGAGCTTGGCCTGATCCAGCGTTAGCTTATGCTCAGTCTCTGCAGCTGCAGCATTTTATACCAAAATTGAGATAAGACTCTGAAAATGTATTTTTAATTGTTAGAGTTAGTGCTGGGAGAAGATACCTCTCAGCTGAAAGCTTTAGGACAGTTTTTAAAAGACTTAAGAGATTACGATCAGTGGTTTAGAGTATTTTTCCTCCTAATAAATGTTAAATGTCAGCTTTTCATGTTACTGCTCCAGTGTTTAACACTAGATAAAGTAGCTTTCAAGAAAACAAATTTCACCTAATTTAACTGAAAAGGCAAACTATTAATGTTGAAATTATGTTTTATTATAGCAACTTTTTTATCATTGCCACCTATACGTCAACAACAGCCAAAGCCTTAAATAAGACACATGTTTTTCTGGTAAGTGTCAGATGATACCTTATGAGTAAAAATGAACCATCATTGAACAAGACAACCTCTCCTAGGATACTGCACATAGCTATGGACACTTGTATCCAGGAAAAGTTAATTTAGATTGAAAGGTGTTGAAAGGGTAATCAGGGATGCAAAGTGGCAATCTTGTAAGAGGAGACTTGAAAAGGTCTGATTGGGTCAATCCAGGCTGAGAGATGACAAAGTTGATTTCTAACAATGTGTGTTGTAAGAGCTGATTGTGCAGGGAGAAATGCATAAAGCACATAATGCGTAAATTGAGAAGAGGACATCTAGATTGTAAATCAAATTTCTTGTCTGAGCAGTGAGTTCTGGGAAGGCTTTCAGTGGGAGTAGTTAGGACAGACATCCTACTAGCTCTAAGATGTGGTGTCATAAATTTGAGTGAGACTTTGTAGTAGGTGTCTGTGCTAGGAAGGCACAAGAATCTGTGACCCGAAAATTTGCTTCCTTTCAATATCTCATGTGAGGTTTTTCATAATCTTTTCACTTACAGTCCACCCTTTTTCTTTTTTATTATAATACTTAGCAAACAACAAACCTAACATCTATTTATGTGCCCTAGAAATTTTACTTCAACCAGCACAAAATTTAGTGAAAGAAACACCGGACTCTGTGAGACAGTGCACAGTGTTAAAAGCTGAATTCTTGGAAAAACAGTGTCACACATTTTATTTACAACAGTGAAAGTAGATACAGATTTTGCTGGTTGTGCCATTGGTATTGTGAGATTGTTTGGCACAACCTTTGTCACATCTCAACCAAATTGGGACGTGGCAGTCAGTTAAAATTTGCACGTTTCACAGCTCAGCTCTCTGCCCTCAGAACAGGAAGGCATTTAGGCTTAAAATTCTGGTATGCTGGAGTGTGGCCAAGGTGGAAACGACTTGCAAGATTACCTTTTTCTCCTATTTTCCCCCAAAGAAATTAGACATGGTTTTGTTACAGAAAAGCCAAATGACCAAGGAAAGACTGTCTTTAAAATCAAGTAACCCTCCAGAACTGAAGCAGCTGCAGGGAAGGGAGACAATGAACAAGTTGCCCAGTGAGGTGGTGGAGTCACCATCTCTGGAAGTGTTTCAGAGACATCTGGATGTGGCACTTGGGGATACCTTTTAGGGAAGAAATTAGACATGGTTTTGTTACAGAAAAGCCAAATGACCAAGGAAAGACTGTCTTTAAAATCAAGTAACCCTCCAGAACTGAAGCAGCTGCAGGGAAGGGAGACAATGAACAAGTTGCCCAGTGAGGTGGTGGAGTCACCATCTCTGGAAGTGTTTCAGAGACATCTGGATGTGGCACTTGGGGATACCTTTTAGGGATGATTATGGTGGTGTTGATGGTTGGAGTCACCATCTCTGGAAGTGTTTCAGAGACATCTGGATGTGGCACTTGGGGATACCTTTTAGGGATGATTATGGTGGTGCTGGGTTGATGGTTGGACTAAGATGATCTTGAAGGTCTCTTCCAACCTTGATGATTCTGTGATTCTGTGAATAGTAAGCTTAGTCATAGCCTCTTGGCCATGCCTACAGTTAGAACAGCTAGAAGTGCTATTGTGGAGATCTGCTCCTAGGTGCAGCTACACCAGGGGTTTCAGGTCTACATTGGCTGTGAGCCACAGCCTCAGTCTTTTGTTTTATGAACATCTTATGGAAAACAAGAAACAGAGAATGTCAGTCATTCATAAGTGACTGTGTGAAAAATGGCAGGCATGGCCAAGAGAGAAATGACATCTCATGTTTGGGGAGTTTTGTTTTACTGTGTTTGTTTTTCAAAGCAAATAGTGATAAAATATTAGGACTGCCAGAATTGAAAAGTTTAATATACCCCAGTTACTAAAGGTCATCAGATTTTTATTGCTTTCTTGCCCTTGCAATTTATTTTCATACTTAGAGAAAGACTTTTGTCCAGATTTTCAGGCAGTGACTGCCAGTTTGTAGTAAATCATTCACCAGTCAGACTTTATCAGGTTGTATAAAACAGAGATATCATAATCAAAACATAGCCTTTCTTTTTTTTTTCTTTTGTGTTTCTATTGCAGGAAGCTACTTTTTCTTTCCAAACAGTTACTTTCCTCAAACAACATCTTGCACAAGTACAACAAGAACAACTCCTACTCACAGAAATATTTTGCTTACACATTCCTGCAAACTTGGGATTATGATATCAGAGTTTTCAGAATCTCTCTGTGCTTTCGTAGGTCGTTTGTAACTGACTGGGAAGAATTTGTAGATCAGATGTATTATCTTCAATTAAGAACAGATAATGGCTGTTATAAGATTTAGGGATTGAAGCCACATTGCTGATGTGAGGTTCACAACACACACTGACAGAGCAATCTGAACTGCCCAAACTGGTGGAAAGATATCTATATTTCATGTCTCAGGGCATGTAAATCACATGAGAACAGGACACTGAAGGCCTTAGTATCATGATACCAATATTTCCCCTATAACTAACTTTTTTAAGAGAGAACTTTGGAATAATTTTGAAGGAGTTTTCTATTTTACAACTATTTAAATAGTCTCAGATACTGAGCAGTATATTAAAATTGGTGTCATTACAAGGAAAATATTTTGCCATTTTTATCTTTTCTGCAGTGGGGTTACTTATTTTCCATACAAACTGATGTGTCATAAAAAAAAACCCTCACTCTCTTGAATCCAGTTTAATTACTCAGCACATGTTACTGAATGTGACTCCACTGGGTAAAATGCAGATTGTTACAAAAAAGGCTGATAAAATATAGAAATAAACACATTTTGGTGTGTTGCTATTTTAAAATGTGTGCATGCTTTTGAAAATGAGAAAATTTATAACCATACAGAGTTGTATTAATTGTCTCGGTTAATGAAAACAAAAATCAGATTTGTTTTTTTAGGGTATGAAATGAAGGGTTCAAGTTTTGAAGGGTTCAAGCTCATTTTGAAATCAGTACCTGTCAAACAGTCTTATACCACTGCATTCCAATTCACACACTCACCTCATTTGCATAAGTACACATTATTATACGACCTGCAATTATGTGATTGGTATACAATCACACAAGGGACATGAGCAGATCTGTCCCAGACTGGAAATGGGAGCACAGGAGCTTGGTCTGTAACTCTTATTTTCAGGCATGCTGTTGATAAGATCTTTGCCTAATCCCTTGCAGGAATAAGAAACTGTTGACATATGAGGTAGGGCTGGAAGGAAACGTTTTTTAGAAGCCATGAATGCACAGCAGTTTTCAGGGATTTTGCTAATAAGCTGCACAGGGTGTTGCTCCCTCTTCTTGCATTTGAGCGTACAGCACTGCCTCTGTGGGATTTGTGTCCCTTTCCTTCAAGAAAGAGGGGAAGAGAGAACAATATTTTTAATTTTAGAAGCAAAATTTGCATTAACTGCAGTATTTATGCATCTTTATCTTCCCAGAAGCAAAGGATGGAGTTACACAGCGAGTGAGTACACATGCAGAGCGAGGAGTGAGGAGCAATGCTCAGATGGTTAGCGTTGAATTTCCCCTGCCTGGAGAAGGTTTGCTGCAGCTCATGCATTCCCCAGAAATAGCAACAATCCAATGTGTGCTTCTCTGCTGTTTTGCAGCTCAGCCACACTGCCTATCACTTTCAAGTGCTTGTTGGAGAACAACCACGTGGACAGGAGGATTGCAAGGTTTGTGCTGCCCGTGGGAGCCACCATCAACATGGACGGGACAGCTCTCTACGAGGCCGTGGCTGCAATCTTTATTGCACAAGTAAACAACTATGAGCTGGACTTTGGGCAGATTATTACTATAAGGTATAAACCTCAAATCCTACATTCTGTCATTTGCTTGTATTGTGACTCTGAGACACTTACAGCTTGCCTGTGTGGCCATGTTCAGAACAAAACTCGTGTGCTATTATTGAGGGATGTTTCCCTCATAGATGGTTATTTTGAAGTAATGCAGAGATCAGGGGCTGTCCAAAGAGAAATTGTGCTGGTCCTGTCCAATACAAGCATGTGGACACCAGGAAACCTGCTTCTGTTTGAGCATAACTCTCATTTTTAATTTTAAACAATCCATTGATAATTTTCTAGGGCTGGAACATTTTACTATTTATATATACATAATATAT